ATTGAACTGCTGATGGCGAGTAAGTCGAACCTGTCTGGCTTTTCCAGAATCGCGGATTTCGGCTATCCTGAATTGAGTAATATCATAAGAAACAGGTACCTCGGCACTTTCAAATTGACTGGATTTTGAACGGGTTTTGCCGAATATCTTGCTCTCATCTTCTTTTTCGAGCACAAAGGCAGTCGTTGCTTCCGTGCCGTCTTCTGTTTTGGGTTGAAACACTTCTGCGAACTGTGTTGTCAGGTGAGCTTGCTTCTTGTCAAGTGTATCGTTCGTAGCGGTCACTGCATTCGAATTATGACAGCCGATATCACTGTAAAAGGCACAGTCGCTCTGGTTCCAATGCACTTCAAGTAGAGCTGGTCAAGTACATTTGTGGTACCATTCAAGGCGATGCCATTTAGCGCATGCTCACATGTGCCGTGTCCATGGCATGTAATGCTGGTCCTAGCAGCAGTCGAATTATGTTTCGGCTTCTTTAGCTTGTGTCGGCCAGTCTTGATCCATGTGTCGCGATCTTCAGCTTCACAGTCAAGTCGTAACTCGATACTTGTGTTGTTGGTTTTCACATTGCAGTACGACTTCGTTTCTTTAGGCGGTGAGATGACGACAGGGTGGACGTCCTTGGCTTCATCGACAAATAGTTTACGTAGACAGTACCTCTCTAGATGTCCACGCTTCTTGCAGTAATTGCATTCAGTGATCGGCTTCTCGCACTTCCTGGTCCTATGGGTCTTCGCTCCGCAGTTCATACAAAGGTGTGTTCTGGGCTTGTGACCAATGAATGGCTTCCGCTTCTTGTCTCGCTGCATCGCGTTGACTTGCGGGTTCTCATTCATCTGATTCACGCTGACCTGAGGTACCTTGGCTTTGTCGATCGTCTGTATATGATTCTGCAGTTCCAAGTAGTCTTTGTACTCTTCGTTGGGTTCTTGCTTCGTCAGTTCAGCCATGGGTTCTCGACAAGACTTCCACAGTTCCATGATTTGCTTCATTAGAAAGTGGATCGTGTCCGTGTTCGGGCTAGGGTTCGGGTTCTGATCGAATTCTGGTAGACGAGTATCAAGTGCATTCATCACGTAATCCTCGCTGGATCCTTGTTTCTTCTTTACTTCTTTCCGCAGCTCCATGATTTGCAGCAACAGAAGGTGTGTTTGGTCCATGTTGGGGATCGGGTTCGGGCTCGGGTTCGGGTTCTGATCGCCAGTTGTTGTGTTTGCCATGGCATGTGTAGGAAGACGATTGGAGACCGAGTTCTTTACTTGACGACAAGGAACTAAGAATGAACTATACTTACTAAGGAATGCCTATATATAGTGCACACAACTATATCACATATCATAAACAACAGATCAACATATTCGGTTATTCTTCTCCAGCATTGGTTTCTTGTGCGGCTGCACAACAGTTATTTCGTTTTGCTTATTCGAAATTTATCTCGAACTGAAACTACTTCCATTGTTGTGCACTGCTTCAAGTTTGATGTTTTTTCATCAAGAGTGAAACGGTGAACAAGAATGGACGAACAGGCATTATAATCGGTGGAAAATGGAATAGAACTGAAACGCTCAGACTCTATTTCAACAAAGCAAACGATCTTCGCGATCTTCACTGCATCTAATGATTGTGTCAGTCTGTTGAAAACAGCTAGTTATATTAACGACGCAGCGACTTTCTAAAATGCAGCAAGGGTTTCCTACAAAAAAACGAAGGAGAGAGCGCGCAAGGGAACTTTCAGCTTTTACGAGACACACGACACGAAAAAAGGTTCACTATCATTGGTCCAAGCTTGGAATTCTTTTTATCACAGGAGATAGTAAGGCACAAAATGAGACGAAAACGATTGAAATTTGCGACGGAAACTATGAAAGTAGCCAAAAATCTTTGCCTCCCTATGCTCTAAACAGCACGCGGGCGTCTGCTGTACATGCAGCATAGTTCCGGCACACTTCGAACGTTGTGCTGGAACTGAGTTGGAGCTTCCGGACCAGCAGGAACGCAGCCTTGGGCGTATGTTTTTTTACAAAGATTCTATACACAATAGGAATTTGGTGCCGTGCAGTACAAAAAAGAGGCTCTTGCAAAAGCAAACATGTCTCCAGTTTGAATCCACGTGTATGGAGTTTATTTCCGCATATACAATTCACCAAGATATCTTCCACACTAAATTGCCGTTTCACTTTGCTGAGTCAAAAGTTTATACCAAGGAACGACTGTTATGTAACCTTTGATTCAACTGACATGGCGGCTGGAAGGCAGGCTTTATGACCTAATTAAGGCCGTTCGCGCCCCAATGCAGTCTGTGTCTCTCTCGCGCGCTTGCTCTCTGATCATTATCTAGCCTTAATTAGGTCACGAAGCCACGCCTTCCAGCTGCTAAGTTGAATCAAATAGTAGTTGAGCAAATCAGATCAAAAGTTTTACAGCCTGGGCGTATGATCTCATCTACTGCTCATGCCTAAACAAAGCTTATAATTACTGTTGTCGTAATGCCTGTTTGTTGGTAGGTTTGCGTGCTTGTTTTTCAATTGTCGTTTCTCATAAGTCGTGGATCAACTTTTTATTTTTGAAGAAAAAGGTAAAAAGCTGGGATTTGCAATGTAGAGTGCTCAAACAGATGAAGATAGGGGAAAATATGTTTTTAGGTAATTATTGATCACCCATGTCCATCTATTTTATTGGCTTTTTGCAAATTCTGAGCTAGGTGAGCTTTACAGAGAAAGGGAACGAGCTAGACGTGATAAGTGCTGCCTACTATACTTTGGACTGAATCAAATGATTATTCGATTATTCGAATTAATTATTCGAATGCGAATGACTCGAAAATTTGAAATTCGAAAATCTAAGACTTCGAACATTATTCGATGGTCGAATACGAAAACTTTCATTTTCGAATATCATTCTAAAGTCAAACGTTCAATGATCATCCATTCGGAGTTCATTAAATATTCGAATAATTTATGAGCATCGAATATTTGAGAGTTCGATATCCGTAGCATAAACAAAGTGTCAAAGGTATTTTGACATTCTTTGCTCGCTTATATCTCTCTTCACACTATGACTTTTGCCAATCTTTGGGGTGTCATTCCGTAGATCTCGCTACAGCCTGCATCTGCAGGAAAAACATGAATTGCTCATGGCTTCTATTATAGCGGGATTACGGTGGGAATCTCTAGCCTTTAGAGCTACTACGAGTTCAGCCGTTAGAAGAAACTCCTCCAAAAAAATTGAGTTGTTTAGCAGTGTCACCACACAACTTTTCACGAAATTTTCGAGCTTTCTTGACGTGCAATCACATTTTGAGAAACATTGAAAAATTATTACGCTGTACCTGACATAATTTATAAAGCATTACAGCTGGGTGCAAATTTTGAAATCTTACTTTGTATCCCCTGATGTATGAGTTTTTGGTGGTTTGTTTTCCTCTCTCAGGCATAACATGGCCCCCACTTCAAAACTCTCTTCAGTTCTTCCAAGGTGATCTTACAGCAGTGAAGTACGATCGGCTCATTGCTTCATACTGTAGATTTAAGCTGAGGTAGAACTCAATAGTATCCAATTGTAAGTCCGGCAAATTATATGAGAGGAAAATTAATTGAAATCCACAAATTTGAGTGGAGGTTGCATGTTTGAATTGTCTTTGCGGTAACTGAACAGTATGCAAGAAGAGCCGTCTTTCTATGGAGCAAAAGTTGATCTATTTACTAGTCAAGGATGCCACTATTTGTAATGAAAAGATCTTCTGAATTTCTAAAAAAATTTTACAACCGTCATGCGAGTACGCTTTAGGTCCTCAGGTCTATACTCTCAACAATGTTTTGATATCAACAATAAACCGTTTTTTCGTCATAAATTGTAACATGAAAAGTGTCTACCGATTATTCGTAAACAACTTATTGTTAGATGTTTTTGGTATGCAGTAAGAAGTCATCTTATTGACAAATAATGTTCAAAAATCGTAATATTCGGAAAGTGATATCCGATATATCATTTGAAAGTCGAATATTCGAAAATTTTGATTTTCGAATGTTATTCGATATCCTAATATTTGAAAAAAAATTTGGATCTTTAAGTATACTACCTACACTAAGTTTCACCCCCAATTTAGGAGGAGATCGGATTGGCCGGCGTCCACTTCGCGACCTTTCGCGCCGTTTCGCAGCAGTATATGGTATCGTTCTAAGAACTTTTTTGCGTCTCCCATTCTCCCCAACCTCTAATTGGCAAATCCCCAGCGCCATGCGCTCGCCTAGCCTCCGGCGAAGCGAACGAGCTACTCCATATGGGATGCTTCGCTTACTTCGAATTGGACCGTACCGTACAAGTATTATAAGGCTATTACGTCATCAAGAGAACGCTCAACTTTTTCGGATTTTTGAGCACAGAGAATTACAAATTGCTCAACCGCAACATCTTTCCTCTGTTATCAGAAAAGCAGCACTAGCAAAATCTTGTGCTTCATAAACTCTATTGATTATATATCGTCACGGCTCGGCACAGGTGGCTTGTAAGCCAGCTGGTATCGTTTTTTGGGACGAAAAGCAAAGGGGGTTTCGTTTTTGTGACCGAAGAGACACGGAAAATTGGCGACGGCGACCTTTTTTTTTAGTCGACGTTTCGTTTTTTGGGGGATTTTGGGGAATTTTTCAGGTTTTTAGAGGAAATTTGGTTGAATTTTGATAATGTGCTTTTGTTCTTTTCGACGTGCACTCAGATGGCATGTGATTTTTAAGTGTGCACTTCAATAAATCTCGATAGAAAGGTTTTAGTCGCCCACGAAAATAAGCATAAAATTCTAGATTTTTAAGAAACTCGGATGATTCAGAAAGTTTACGTTGGACGGATAGAGCGCGTGACGAAAAAGTTCGACATGTTACACATCAACACAGATTAAGAACCCAAAATCTTATGTTGCCATTTACCTCAAATCAAATCTATTCTACAATGCGACCAAAACTGAAATGGCCGATTCCAACATATCCTACTTCACTGAACTGATTTCATTTCGCACGACTTCTTGGGATGACTGTGAAAACGGCAACAGTAGCAGTTCGCTGAGGGCATGTCTTCGTTTTAAAACATCCCTTAAAATGATGTTTACTCTTGCCTGTGAATTGCATCGAGTACTTACACTAATGGGACTTTGGAAGAGATCTCTTAACTCCTTATTTGCGACGATCACAGAAACTCTGAAACAACTTTCGTAAAGGCAAATTCGTTCATTATACTGAGTTTTGAGTACAGCATAAACATACCCATCGGCAGTATGCATGATCAGCCATGCTAAATTCATCAGTATCCATCTGATAAAGGCATTAGTGAAAATTTCTGAGATGAAGAAGTAACAAATCATCTCCACTATCCAGATCAAGAACTGAAGCAATGCCTAAAGTGGTATTTTGATGTTGTAGTGAATATCTTGTCAAAATCCAACTAGTAATAAGCAACTTGTACAAGATCAGACTTACTAAGTAGTATGTTACCTGTTTGAAAAAATGTATATCTGCCTTTCGTTTAGCCAGGGCTTGTCCACTAGAAAACTGAATAAGAAATGCTGCACTGTATTATACCACGCATTCTATCTTGTGCAATAGCTCGCATGCTGACCTGCTTTGAGGTGAGACGCAACTTTAATAGAGTCACTGTATCCACAGAGCCAATAACACCAACTATTATGAATTGCCTGATGGTATTATATACCACGAAACTGCACTCCTTGATCAAACATGACAGTTAAAGCAAGAGTCGTATTCCTGTACCTTACCTTCGCAGGTTTGAACTTAAATCCCCAACCATTGTCGATGTATTGATATGTACATCCAACTAAAGAGATAGCTCAACATAGATAAATGTGTTTCGGAGTCAACTTTTACGTTCATGCAAACAGAAGATTCTTTAATTGTTACCGAAAATGAAATACCTCTTGGGCATCAGCTACTATTTGACTGAGGGCAGTAAAAACAGAAAATGAGACAAAAGTGCCTGCAGCAAAGACTCGTAACATGCTGCATGTTCACGATGCAAACAAAGTGGTTTCTTGGCCCATCGTAGTAAAAAAAAATAGTAAAAAAATAAACACTCAGCAAACGAAGGAATGCTCAAGATAAAGCTCACCCATGCTATTTGGACCTATTTGATTTGGTAACGCCTTCTCTTCCAAACTAGGCGTTAATCATACATAAGCAAAGGGATTTTGTCACAACCTCGCATGAGATCAGAAGTTTTACCTGCATTAGGTTTCACTTTAGATGATACTTCGGATTATTAGTGTAAACTTGAATACGTGCCTGCTAATTCTCTCAGTCTTTATACTAACTTTATGCTTGATGAGTTTCGCAATGAGCGTAGCTACCGAGGATAATCAAGAACGCAGCAGTTATGGGGTAACCGGCGTGGCTCTTGACAACAGTAAAAAGTGGTAAAAAATGCAACTGTCTAGGGTTTTTAGTTCCACCGGATTTTGTTTTGGAAAACCTTTTTACTCAGTGGCAGTACTATTTTGTGCGTAGCTTAATCTTACCAATAATAAATAGAAATTTGGTTGGTTGCACTTGAATTGAGACAGGAGAGTTACATGGTCAAACATCGAATACACTTCAATTCTCTTGGCTTGAAAATCGTAGTACTGTTCGCTTCGAGATCTTGGCCCGTAGACACCTGCTTAGCGCAACCCGGCTGGATACGGGCTCACGTTGTACGTAGGACGCCTCATTCCGCCGTCCAGTGAGCTTTTCTTCAGAATGCGGACCGCTTTCTTGGGCTAAAGATCTTGTGCTTTTCAAAAAGTAAGCAACTGAGCAGGATTGGTCGAACGGCTAAGTGATCAGGTCAACGCATAATCAACCTTCATGACAATTAACAAATTAACAATTTATATACATCCTATTCATTGTGCAGGGCCTTTCGCAGCCTCCAGCTTCAATCTCAGTGAGTCGAGCATGACTGGTGGAGGTGGGGGAGAAAGATGCAACGCTACTTTCACAGAGTCGTAGATGAACTATTGAGCAGCAGTCAGTGTACCGATCATAATGATACGGGAAAACAATCCCTTCCATCCAACAAAGCCGAGCTTTTTGATTATTTCACCAATTCCAGACCCAGCATCCTGGTTCAGCTTGGATATTGCTGTATCAGCAGCATGAGAAACGATATCCGACCTACTGATTTTAAAACTCACATCTGCTTAGCACGATAGCTTCGTATTCTAGGGTTCGGTTAGCGCATCAAAAGTTTCTATCTTGCTTGGCTTTTTTTCTGAAGCAAAATACCGCTTTCAATGGCTTAAAACTCCCCTCAAAGTTCCTATCATAACCCCACATTAATGAAGAGCGATTGATATATCGCTCCATACTGTAAATCTAAGTTGGATTTCACTCTACAGAATGAAGCTCAAGCTCGGCAAAAGACATGAAAGCAAGAGAGTTATTAACAATCAAACAGTGCGCACATCTTTTTGGAACACCCTGTAGTGTTCAAATTGACTATTATTTCTTTAATCAAAGTTGTCTCGGGCGTTTTTCAATCAAAGCGGTCTCCGAGCGAAGTGAGTTTTTTTTTACATAATGCTGATTACTGTAGAAGCTACAGCAATCTTAACGTCAAGACTGAATGAGGAGAGCTCCGTAGCTTTTCTGAATCATGTCTCATAGAAACCCACGAATAAATTCCACAGTGACGTGATCTGCCATGGGAATGATCCAAATAATAGAGATAAGCAACCAAGACGTTTTCTTGCTGTAACATTAAATAATCACTCTGAAAGCAGATTGAGATGATGTGTTTGGAAAGACAACGGCACGGAAACATTTAAGTATACACTCTAACTTTACGAACTGTGATGAAATATCATTTTCTCAGCTTTGCAAAATTTATAATCGAGCCTATCCTAGCTTATTATGACCATCGAAGGATTCGTAAGGAGAGGATTCGCAAGTTTTTGTATTTGTTACCAACTCTAGCAAAGCAACGTTGTTCATTGTATTTTTGTATGCTGTGTCTCCCTGATGTGTATGTGCCTGTGTTCAATCAGAAACCAATTATTGACCCATTCCTCATCAAACTTTGCACATATCTATCTCTCGCAAATATTAGGCAGAAAACAAGTTTTTCAATTTTCCCAAACGTTATTTTTGCTAACACTCAGGTATGGCATTATGTGGTTTGAGCCAATGCTACAAATGTGGCAAACTAAATGATTTTTATAACAAACTCTAAAGAAACGACGTTCTAAAAACTGACCAAAGACTAAGTACTACGGTTTAAAGCAGAAACGTAACCCGTGGACAGCAGATGTCAAACGCATGCATCCGCAGACAAGCTGTTTGAAGCTTTCTCACTAAGCACAATGGACAAAACAAGGACTTGGGCAAAATCGAGATCTAGCGGTAGAAATGAGCAATTTGAATTGCTACACGCAAATGCCATACTCGTTGCTTGTTAGAGTGGAGGACCATTCCATAATTTACCACAACCTTACAGTAAAACCTAGATAACGAACAAGTATAGTTTGTTATTAACATACTGCAAAATTACCATAAATGCTACGTTATAAACTGTCCATTGTATACTCATTGTAGGTCCGAAAAATAATGGCAGAACTTGACAAGCATTTGACTGTCACTGTTTTGTTGACATATGATTGTAACTGTAAAACTTACAGCATAGTCAACATAAACCAAAGATGCATGCGAAGTGGTCACAGTCACAGGTCACAGGTCAACAAAACAAAGTGATAGCTTTTCTCGACTTAAAGTTGAATAAGGAAAAAGCTCAGACTGCAAATCCGAGATAATATCCAGATACACTTTTATTTTAAGGAGTGCACTATCTTATTTTCAACATTGAAAGACAAGAGCAATTTTGCTGAGAATAAGCGAACATGATGTTAACACCCGTAATTCAAAATTACAGTAGCATTTTGTGCGCATCATGAGTTTGATGTGTGAATGTTCTTGACTTTGTTTTGAGAAAATTAGTGACGAAGAAAAGTGATAAGGTCGTGCAAGTGATTGTAGATTATGAAAGTGATTTTTGGATTTTTAAAATCAAAAAGTATCCTTGCTAATATAAAAGTTATTTTTTCTCTAGAAACAGGAGGCCTTCAAGAATATCAAAGCAATATACTGAGTTGAACTAAAAGTTCTGTCGCTTTGATTTTAGAATGTTCTTCCAATTTTTTTGCAATAAAAAATTTCCCTTCTATCCGTAAAAGATAATTCTCTAGAATCGTTTTCGGTAAAAATTATTAAAAGCTTCTATCTTGCCTTTTTACTCAGAACTAGAATGCAGAATGTTTCCATGAGGTCTTTGAACTTATCTCAACAACATCTAGAGGTTAACGTCATTTCCGCCAGCTCACGCTAATCCGACAGATAGTTATTTCACGAAGGCACATTAACCTCAATTTACTGCCCTGCTTCAATAGCAAATAACATGTTACAATAAGCTAACGATTTTGATTTTGCATTTTGCAAAATAGATTTTGCAAGATTCTAATAATCAAGTGCAACACAATTGTACCTTAACTTACCTAAAGTATCTTGGATACTTTGTGGGCGCACAAATAGCACAAAGTCGGTTGAAAGCCATTATAAGATGTGAAGAATTTGTCACGTCCAGAGAAATCATAAGTATGGTTCCCATTATGTACGAATTTGCTTTCATTTGATTTAGATTACTAGAATGTTGTCTATAAGGGAGCATAAGATTTCACGTATTAGGTCATTCCGAAAGTAATTTCGCTTTGTCCAAACGGACGCCACATGTGATGGAACAAAGATTTCTAAGAGCTCTTGGCAGCATTCGATGCCGAATTTCATTCGCTTTCTAATGGCTACAAAATTATTGCAGCACTAGCTGGCTTACCCGGTTCCGCCCGGCCCTGTCAATAACATATTTGTAATCAGCATGCTCGACTACCCCCCCCCCCCCTCTGTGCCAACTCCCAGCCCCGTAGCACAAATTTTGCAGGAAATCGATAAAATCGATATCGGTCGATAACGAAAGATAGCCTACGACCGCCCCGCCCCGAAGTGTATGTGTGCCAAGTTTGGTCCGGATTGGTTCAGAAATGGAATTTTCTATTCGGAACATACGTACACACATACAGACATACAGACATACAGGCATTCAGCTTTATATATAAGATAATCAATGACTTTCGGAAAATTATAAGTCTGCGATCCATGATTTTTATGATGTTCAAGTTTCACAATTTTTCTAAATTTTTACATCAATCCTCCGAAGGAATCCAAGTAACGGTTCGATAGAGCAGATTCATAGGATATGGCATGTCTTTTCTCTCGTTTTTATGTCTCGCCGTAATTTCTTGAAAGATTTATCATTGAAACCATCAAATTTTGACGGACCTACGTCAGCCACATTCGTATCAAAACCAATAAATCTTTGGAATTTAAAACTTCCAAAATGTATCATGGTTTAGCACTAATTTTACAAAGCGAATGAGAGTTTACGGAATCGAAATATCTAATTTCGATTTTTTCGGGTACAGCCCGGAACTCGTTCGAAAATATGGATTATGATGATTTTGTACGCGATAACTCCACGAAGCAAACAAAAAACATCTATTAGAAAGAGGAGAACAAGCTGCATCAATGACACCCGAGCTGCCCAACCTTTGATCTTCTACGTGGTTTGATTTGAACAAGAATGGATTTTGGTAGCATTTTCAAAATTCTATTAGGTTGTTCGGAAATTAATGTCCGTTTTGAATTCCAACCGCAATAAGTCATACATTTCTCATTTCTAGATAGCACGCAAAGTACCATTCGATAGAGCAAAACAAGCTCTACAAGAAGGCAATCTTGCTTTAGCAACAGCTCTGATACATCTCCCGTTTCGAGCCAAAAACTAAAAAGATTCAGCAGCCCGAAAAATCGAATTAAATCGTAACTCTGTTCATAAAAATCCTACAAAAGTTCTTACTTGCTCACGTAAACACCATCCACATAAAACATCTATATACGCCTTTGCCGTGTTTTTCTCTCTGTTAAAAACCAAGAAAACGGAAATTTTCGTGCATTTGCCAAAGTGATGCTGTGCCGTCCCCACATAGGTAGTTGTATACCACAAGCCCGTAAAAGTACAGACTCAAATTTTCAGCTCTTTACAGGCTTTAGTTCTCGAAATCTTATATATAAAGCTGAATGTCTGTTTGTCTGTCTGTCTGTCTGTCTGTATGTATGTCTGTGTGTACGTATGTTCCGAATAGAAAATTCCATTTCTGAACCGATCGGGACCAAACTTAGCACACATACACTTCGGGCCCCGGCGGGTGTCACAGGCTACTTTTAATTCCAGCCCCTTAGCTCAAATTTTGCAAAAAATCGATAAAATCGACATCGATCGACAACGAAAGGTGGACTGTGACACCCGCCGGGGCTCGAAGTGTATGTTTGCCAAGTTTGGTCCGGATCGGTTAAGAAATAGAGTTTTCTATTCGGAACATACGGCGAAGCCGGGTAAGCCAGCTAGTACCGAATATAGCATTCCCTAGTTAGGTGGTCCAAGCTAAAATTCAAATTTCTCGAGAACTAAAGCTTGTAGAGAGCTGAGAATGTACGTTTGCACTTCTACAGGTTTGTAGTATACAACTATCTATGTGGGGACGACACATCACTTTGGCAAAAACATGATTCGATGTAACTTGATTTCTAACAAAGGAAAAAATACGGCAACGGCGTACATATATGTCCTATGTGGATAGTGTTTACGTGAGCAAGTTAGAATCTTTGTAGGATTTTTATGAACTGAGTTATGATTTTTCTCGATTTTTCGGGCAGTTGAATCTTTTTAGTTTTGGCTCGAAACTCGAAGCGTCTCAGAGCTGTTGCATTGCCATCTTGAAGAGCTTGCTTTGCTCTATCGAACGGTACCTTGAAGCCTATTCAAGAATGAAAAGTGTATGACTTATTGCGGTTGAAATTCAAAATGGACATTAATTTCGAGACAATCTATTATTTAAAAATTTTGAGGATTTATATGAAGGAGAGAAATTGTTTTGTATCCTGTAGGGTTTGCTCTATTCACTCGCTACTTGTCTTCAGAGGATTGGTATAGATATTTTGAAAAACAGCTAAAGTTGACCTTAGCAAAAACCATTAGTCGCAGATTTTGAAGATTTTCCGAGAGCTCACTGCGCTACAATGATTTTATAACATCACAATATTTTAGAAAGACAATGAAATTCTGCATTGAACGCTACCAAGATCTCTCAGAAAGCCTTATTCCATCACATGCGGCGTTCGCTTAAAAAAGCGAAATTACTTTCGGAATTACCTAATATATCAGTGGATGTGACAAGCATTTGACTCCGTTTAAACAGAGCATTGATTGCGCTCGAGAATATAGGGACTTGCGGTGTTAGTGCGCAAGTTAGGTGTCTCATCACTATTGCATTAGTAACAGAAGAATGCCAAGAATAAAAACATCGCCTGACTTGTTTATTCAATACTGGCCCAATATTAGTTCCTTACGCGCACCCCTTTCCTCTTTTATGCAACGTTGCAATGTTATATATAACTACATTTGGCCCTTTTGAGCAACCGACTGTAAACCATTAGATACTGACATATTTGAGACTTACTACAAAACCATGGGTGGATAGTAGAACACAAAGCAGCTCAGCAAAGTAGCCTCAGCAAGTGATTGACTTGCAATGAAAAGAAAAAACGGAGTTCTCTGTGTGAAACCACGTAAAATACATATGAATGTGAACCAATGACAGTATGATCCAATCGCTGCAACCTGAAACTGAAGCATCATTAACGCTAACACACAGTAATCGTGCTTACCAAGAAAGATGCCAATGCAGCAAGTTCTCGATATGATATTTTTACAATAAGAGTGGGCTCGATGGTGGTGTCGTCTGACATTTCAGTAAGCACAGTCCGTAAAATTTGCCAACCAAGGAAAAAACTTTGAAACTCTTTTTCTAGAAGTAGACCTTTCAAATCAGTGCAAGACACATGTACTTTGCGAATGACTCTTGCTAAGATGGCAAGAGTTCTGGTCCAGTGATTTGATTTTATGTGGGCAGTATCCTATTTCACGCGTATAGGAGCGGAGAATTTTTTTTAATCGAACAGCACAGACACGGCGAAGGACATCGCGAAGAAAAAACTATTTATAATGCTGCATCTTTGAGAGTATCGTGCTGCGTAAGTTTCGTTTTCCGAAACACAACGAGGCGGCTGAGCGGCATGCTTGAAAAACAAAAAAGGTGCGTCTTGCACGCGTAAAATTAGGGCAGTATCATATCTCAACAGCAAGTATCCAATACTACCCTCACATTTTTTCTAAATCGGTTGCTTACATGGGTAAAGCTTGCGACGTAGGCAACGTTTATCTAAGTGTATTTTCGAAAGAGCGCTCTAAATCGAGGAGATTTTTTGGCCTTATTGCTGAGATTCTTACAGATTCGACTTTGTCTCAAATAAGTTACGGTTTCTGTTCACTTGGGCTTCGGGTTAGCTATTTCATGCTTTACGAGTATTGAAATTCAGGATTTTTTTTTTGAAAATGTTGGCGCAAGAATGCAGAAGTGGTAACGTCAGACCAGGGTGTTACTTTTGATAGTCGAAAGTGCGTAATGGTGTAAGATTTTACAGTTTTTTGACCTCTCACTAAGTGTCGTAAGAACAGTAGTATTTTACATCATATTATTTTCAAACCTTTTAAACGTCATATGTAGCTATGGGTGAGATAAACGTTAAGATCTTACTACTATTCCAAGCTTGTGCTGGGGAATAACCAAAAAGCGGCGCAGAAGTCATAAAAGTACGCTGTACCTGGGTTCTTATGACAAACAAAGTGGCATTGCAAATCATGTCCTGCAGACATGTTACTAACCTTACAGACTAAAGCATTGTCTGTTAGAAACTGACATGTTCCAAGTGTATTTTTTGGAGATGAGCAAAACTCAATAGCTAAAATGAACAAACGACTTATTTACAGTGCAAGAACATCGTATGCCTCAAACTATTTGTATGTAATATTACTTCCGACAATATTATATCAAAAAGACTGGAAATATACGTGAGCAGGTGGCGTACCGGTAAAATTTTTTAAACATTCATTTCAGCCTTTCAAAAAAAACTTTTGAAGTCCTCTCTGCGCCATGCCCTCATTTCTGGAAACTCGGAGTTATAGGCCCGCGAAAATGTTAGGAAGCCTACCAAAAACTTTTTCGGAGTGCGTGGCTGACGCCACGCACCTTCGCCACAAAAAATTTGGTACTTTTCCGTTATCCGGACCAATTTTTTCAAAAGGCTCTCATGACGTACGTTCTTTAGTCTAAGAATAATTTTTTTGTAGATTCTACGAAGACTGCCTCCCCGCCACATGTCAGGAAAAATTTGAAGCGTTTTAGCTCATTTTGACTTGTTTTTACGAAATCATTTCCGGTAAGTAAAAAAGCGTTTGCGACCGCTTAAAAGCTCTTCAACTGTTTTCTATGAAAGCAAGACTGTCTAGAAGTTATCGCAGAATATCTTAATTGCTTTCAGCAATAATTCAAACTTGTCTTCTTCTTCAAGCTTTCCTCCATGCGAATGCAGTCAGGAAAGACAATAAATGACGGCCTGCGGTATCTCGCTGCTGCTTGTTTCGCCGCTTGGATGGTGAATACTAGCACACTTCTCCATTCTTGGCAAATCTAATCTTTCAATGACAACAGAATGACGTTATAAGTATAACAGTGTTCATTTCTGAAATCCTTTATTTCCTTTATCTGAAAATGGCGTCATTATTGACTTATTACAGATTGAATTTACGTTGTTAGGTAGTGCAAAACAAAACCTTGGTAAAACCTGTCAAACATGTAAATGACATGTCAAATTTTCTTGACACGTTGCAGAAGGTTGACACTCCCTTCCTGTGAATTTGGGACCAAATATGATAGAAGAAAAAAAGCAATATCCTTGTTTTAAAAAATGGGTCCGGATAACGGAAAAGTACCAGAAATTTTTGTCACCCCCTCCCCGAAGAGAAATCCTGGGTACGCCATTGGTGAGCAGTACTTTCTCAGATTTCTTGTCTTAAAGGCAGCGTCCGGGCAAAATTGACCTACCTCAGATGCTGTCACATTTCGACAGGGTCCCCCTCAACTAAGACAAAACAGCAAGTCCGCCCCGAAAATGTGAATTCTGAAAGTCAGGTGGGCGGGTCAAGTGCCGCTCCCCTTCCTCCTTCCGCTCCCCTTACGCCTACGTAGACGAGCTTACATGTTTGACGCGCCCCTTTGACGTGTCGTTACACGCAGTGTTTCTACCTTTGACACATGTTTTCACGTGTCACTACACCAGATAAATTTCGGAACACTCGTCCGCGATTATTGAAATAGGGTTCCAGAAACGGGGGTTTTGGAGATTTCAAGCAATTCTCGGTTCGGATTTAGATTCAGGGGCGTCGAAAAAGCAAGAAACGCCAGAAACATGGAAGTCGAGGTTTTGCCCGGACGCTGCCTTTAAGACGCTACGTTTGCATAACCTTCGAATTTTTTGTTCTGCATTACTTGCCCTTCAATATTCTGCTCCCTGCAAAAGGGAAGATCTCAAAGCATTTCTGCTTCTCTTTGTTTGAGCACCAAACCCACCCTTAATGATTTTTTCTTAATGCAGCACTTGGGGGCGCACCCTCTCCGTGCTATCGTTTTCTTTGTTTTCTTGCCAATCGAGTTATTTCTTTTGATACAAGTTTTTCACGAGTTAAAAAGCCCGACTAGCTCATTACTTTGATGGTATCATATTAAATCAGCCGTTTTTAGCCAAAAACGTTATCATCGAAGGTGGATCAAAGACGGAGGTATAATTCTTGAAAGGAAACTTTGTAGAGGTTAAGTCAAGTAAAACTTCATCTTCAATAGAGTTTCATCTTCAATAGAGTCAAAAATACGAGTTGTGATACCTGTTTAATAGGTGAAGTATAAAAATTGCTCAAATAGGAGGGCTTCTCGCTTTGTTGTTCATGAGAAGTGTTTTTCAATAAATTTGCTTTTTCTTTAGCATGAATTGCTCGTTTTGTTGTTCATGAGAGCTGTTTTTGAATGAATTTCTTTTTTGCTTTTAGCATGGTGTGATTGAAAGCAGTGTAGCTTTGCATCAGTCATTATAATGATGCCATGCTAATGCGAGTGCAACAGAATAACCTTCCCTTATAAACCTATGTTGAAAATATTTACTACGTCAACCGTAAAGAGAAAATGGTAATGATGTGAAATGTTGTTATTCAAAATTATTACAGTGAGCTTGCTGACATACAACTAAGTAGGAACGAAACTTAAAATTTCAAAAAATGACCGCAAAACGAAAGAATGCGCGGAGATTTGAAAAAGGGTAATGTTACGACGTTTTTGTCAAATTTTACAGGGAGTTGCTGATTTATATTAACTGGAAATTACACATATTTGGCGAAAACGAGAGGCTCTAAATGCGTAAGAAATTAGTAGTAATTATTTTATAATTCATGCCTGTTGCCAACTGCACCTTTGCAAAAATTGAAACGCAATCTACAATGAGAACACGAAGTTATGTTGAAGAAATTTTTCAAGAGTAATGGGAAGATTGAAGTCTACCAACTATGGACACAAAACAAGGGAGTAAAAATTAAAATCTACGAACGAGGGCGTCTAGGCGAAATTTTTTTGCAACTTGGCGTTTACAATGAGCACGAGAGCTAAGGCGCACAGATACCAGTAAGCAATGCAACAAAGAATCGGTTTCATGATAGATTCCCGCGTCCTGCAAGTAGGTCAACTTAATACGCGATATGATAATAAATGTAACAAACGTTAAAAAAAATTATCAAATATAAAATTTGACATGTTATATGATGCGTGATTGAACCTTTAGACTCTAATGAAGTCTAAAAAAAATTTAAAAAGACTTCAAAAAACGTACATTCGAGTGGTTGAAAAAAAATAGTGAGAGTAAGTAAAATGCAAGATACAATAGTGAAAAAAAGTAGAATAAGTTTCTTAATCTCAGTTGCTGGGAGCGCACACTAAAACAATTTGGACGCAGTTAGTGGCTTAGGGCCGCATGCACTAACATTCCCGACGAAGGGAGGACCGCAGCATAAAAGAAAGCTTCATACCCTGAAATTTCAGATACCTGGATTTCACGCTATCTAGTGCATGCGGCCCTAAGCCACCAACCGCGTCCAAATTGTTTTAATGTGCGCTCCCAGCAATTGAGATTGAAAAACTTATTTTACCCATAAGTATTGCTACCATCCTTCACTGTAAACAACTTGAATGGGAGCGAGAAGCTTTAGAAGCCACTTTTTCCAGCTTTCTGTAATGTGATACCCCTGAGGATCCTGAGCGGCCAATTTCCTTTTCTTCAAAGTCATTTTCCTTCCTATGGAGTTTACATGAACTTTCCAAAGTTGTACTCATTATCTAACCCAACAGTGCTAAGCAGGTTGCTGATAAGAACAAATGATGTGAGACATGAAATTTGCGATGAAGCACAAACCCAAGTTGGGGTTTATTGAAAAATTCGATGTTTCAGAATCTTATTTGCTTTTATCAGCAAAATGTTTAGCACTGTTGGGTTTGATAATCAGTACAACCTTGGAACGTTCTTGTTAGCTCCATATGAACAAAAATGACTTCAAAATGGAGATCGGCCATTCGGGATCGTCGGGGAATCGTCCAAAAACTGGAAAATACGGTCCTCACAACTTCTCGCTTCTGTTCATTATATTCATAGTGAGAGATGGTAGGAATGCTTACGGGTAGGTAGACTGCGTGAAATCCAGATATCCGAAGCTTCAGAATTTGAAGCTTGCAGGTTGCGATTCCCTCCTCGAAGGAGATGTTGATGCATGCGGCCCTTAGTGCTATAGTAGTTCACGTATTGCAAAAAATCGA